GATCGCATGGCGGAAAAAAAAAAAAACAGAGTTTTTACCTGTTCTTCGTGCATTTGTGCCTTCAACTCAAAATTGATATGTATTCCTCCAAGATAATCAGTAATTATGAACACAAAAATCTGACCAACACTCTTACAATCACTCAGTCTGAAATTTTACAAAAAATGAAGCTTTATTTCGATTGAAATTACTGAAATGGCAGAAACCCTAAAACTCACTCTTCGATCCAAATTTGTTGATAAAAAACGGTGGTTTTAATTCGTTTTATTAAATGAAAATGATTCAAAATTTGAATTAAAGCCTGTAAGATTCGTTCATAAGGCTGAAAACATTGAAAATCGATCACAAAATAATAAAAAAAATTGAAATCCCGTGAAGAACATTGTGCCGCCCGCGTTCTTTCGGGTGAGTCGGACGAAATCGCGAGTCTACTATTGAGAATTGCCCGGTTCTTTCTGGACACGGGAGCCTCCTCTCACCATTGCAGGAACGTTCAATTCTTTATGGAGTGGAGGAATACTTAGAAAGGAAGGGTTTCAGATACATAGGGTTCTGGTTTCTCCATTTTTGAGGTGTATTCAAGCTGCTTCGGTGGTCATTGCTGCTCTCTGTGCAAGCGAGGAGGGCCTTCATGAGTTCATGACTAAGCTTGGGGCGTTGGAGATTCATCCATCAGAGTTCATGGAGCACCTTGCTGAGTTCACCAGTAAGGATGTGGTGTTTGATCCAACTAAGATAAAGGTATGATGATTGAAGCCCTAAACTTTTTATGGTTTTGTCTCTCTAAAATTTTTAGGTATCAATGAACCTAAAACCTGTCCCTTATATTGAACCAAAAATACCCGTCCAATAATCGAAAAATATCCAAAGGAGACCCAAAAATGCTCACAACGAATGTAAATGAACCAAAAATAAGGGAAAGGTAGCATTTGTTTTGGGTGCAAAATGTCTCGTTTTGAGTGCAAAATTCACAGGTTCAAATCCTGTCATCCCTACCTATTACTTCCTAGTACTTCTTCTATGGGCATTGGAAATCACTTAGAAAGCGCTCTTAGTTCTTAGTTCAGTTCGGTAGTCTCGAAAACCCGATGTCGTAGGTTCAAACTAGGATTGAAAGGGACTATCTCTGATCAAGACCCATCCGTGTCTGGAGCCCAAATCAGGTCTGACAAATTCGGCTGAGGTTCTGATAGACTCGGCCTAGTCCTTAAGCATTAAAAACCAATGGGAAACAGCCATACTCAGTAACGCGTTGGGAACCAACCATGGTCAGCGGTTCCCGTGCTTTTGGTTCTTATCTTGGCAGTCTGAGTAACTTGGGCGAGGCCAAGTTGGATGAGCTGACTTTTGACTCACTGAGAAATACAATCTGTTGAGTTGAGTCTTGTTAGCGGGTTCTTCACATTTATAAGCTTTAAGGGAAGGATTGTAAGATTGGCTAAAATTGGGGTCAACCAGGGCATCTTTGTTTGTCTTTCACCTTCTTCTCTCTATTTATGTCTCCATTTATCTACATCACGAGGTGTTAATGGATATTGAAAGCCTCTTTCTATCTATCACTTTTCAAAAAATATAAACAGTGGTGTCTCTAGTAAGTGAGTTCAAGCCAGGTGGGCCAATTTGGGAAAGTTGTTTGACTTTGCGTAGTGCTTTGAACTTGGTAGTGACACAACTCTCGTCTCCCGTTTCTTGTTGAACATAATGCAGTTGAACTCTTGAAGGATACATATGCAGGACACACACATACACAAACAGTTGGTTATTGTTGTTGAAAATTACACTTACATAATGCATTATTCTTGATAGGCTTAATTTGATCTTTAGGTGTCCATGAAGTGATAATTTTTTTCCAATTGGTACTTAACTACATTTGATGAGATACTATATGTCATGTTTGTCCTTTTGTCTTTTCCCAAAGTTTTCTGCTGATTATCTTTGCATTTTTGTTTCAGTAACGTTGTAAAATTTTGTCATTTTTTCAGCTAAAGATTAGAAATTTTAAATTTTAATTTTCTTATGTGATGAATTATCATGTCATAACAGTATCAAAATGTAGGTATACCCTGTAAAAGAAATTCCTGCAGATTAATTATGTGATAGAGAAACAAGAATGTAATCGAGCAGAGCATTTTTTTTTGTTTGGTTTTTGTTCAAGTCCTTCAGACATTTTCAATGCTGGCACTGTTTTCATTAGCTTTTCTTTTCTTTTGCAGGTCTCAATAGAGTATGGACTTTGTGAAGCCTTGTGTGGGCCGTCCATAAAGCCAGAAGTGATTTCTAAAGATGGGAATTGGTTCCCTGATGTTTCTGAGCTTGATGCTTTGTTACCTCAGGGGATTGTTGATCGCTCTGTTGAATGTGTGTACCCAAAGGTGTCTTCTCTCTTTCTTTCTCTCACTCTCCATCTATTTCCTGCTTCATTTTTGTTGTTAATTGGTTGTGCTCATTTAAAACTGAATCAGTTGATGCTACAGTTCTGTTGTTAATTTTGGTGTTTGTGTAAAATTGAATAGTTGCCGGAATAGGACGAGAAACAGAAAGTGTCGTGCAGAAGACTCAAAAGAGTCATTCGGTCTCTTGCAGACAAATTCCCCAATGAAAATCTGTTACTCATCACTCATGGTAACCCCTCTCTCTTTCTCTCTCACCCACACACAAAGGCAATCTAGGTTCACCAACAGACAAATCAAACAAAATCAACTTGCGTTTGTAAAGTGGAATATGTAATAATTGCTTTGGAGATGAGCGGTGTGACCTAAAAGTTCAATACACAGAATGAAACAAAAATGGTTTAGTGAATCATCAAAACCGGCGTTAAAAGAGACCAAAGAGCTGGACATAGAGAAGTTGGTGATCGAGTTTCACATGCCAAGAATATTAGATAGAGAATATACCCCCCCACTCTCTCTCTCACTCAGATCTGCCTCTCTTTTGCTTGTCGGTGAAGCTGCAGGAGTTGCAGCTCCGATGGCAGCATTCTCCAAAAAGCTAGTGATCGTTGACAAAGTAGGTTACTGTTCCCATGCCTGCCTTCAAAGATCGATCACTTCTCCTTCTGATTTTGAGGCCCTAACAAAGAAATCACGGGGTGTTACCTATTGCATTGAGGGAAAGAGAAAGAAAGAAGAACATGCAATAGCGCAGAATACATCCACTAAAAAGAGTCCTCAAAAGTAAATTGGGGGGGGGAGGGATAGTGGATTGGCTTGTGGTCTGCTGTTTTAACTATATTGGATCTCTATGCTCATGCTCTGTTGAATCATGGGTTTGAGTGTTCTTTTTTTATTAGTTTTTTGAAAATGTTAACTTGTGCAGAAAATGGCCCCGCAACAGTGGGGCAGAGGCCCAAATAGAATGGACAGCAAAAAACTCCCAAAAGCTTTACATCGCCTGTGATTTCAAAATATCCATGGCCTGGCTCATTTAGTATCCAAATTTATCTTATAAACTGGACCTAATGACTTTCATGTTATTTTCGTCTTGTTATGTTTGGTGATGACTGGGGTGTTCCATTAAACCAAAAGTAATTTGTCTGCCCAATATTGAGAATAATAGCTAAATGGCACATATATGGCAAATTGCAAATTAGAATGATCATTCTTCTTTATATTGTAAACACAGGTAGAATTTCCAAATTGAATGCATGTTTTAATGCCTGTAACAAGGCAAACGAGCTTGGGTGGAGTATTGATGCATTATATAAGACCCCATAAAGCTTTTAAATGAATCTACTGTCATTAATTTGGTTTGTTGCTCAATTATGGCTTAAAATACTTAGAAAGAGAGAAAGAAATGAGAGAGAGAAGCTATGTTACAGTTATTATTCGTTTTAGTAAGGAGAGAATGGGTTTGTTGTGATATAAACTATGAAGTTAAAGTTTACTGGACATACATCAACCTAAAGGATCCAAAACAGTAAACACACTAAACCATGCCCACCTAAATCCAAAACAAATCCTGTAAACAAGAAAGCAGAAATTATTAACTAATACAACCTATACGATTTGTATCCAAAACAAAAGCAGAAAGCACTAATAGGAGTCGTCAGTGGAGTCGGATAAGTGGGGTGGTGCGGAGTCTGTAACAATCATAAAAGTAGAAAGAACTCATAGGAGTCATCAGGTCGGAGTCGAATAAGTGGGGGAGTCATCAGGGTCGGAGTCAAATAAGCGGGGCGGAGAAGAAAGCACTAATAGGAGTCATCAGGGTCGGAGTCGAATAAGCGGGGCGAAGAAGAAAGCACTAATAGGAGTCATCAGGGTCGGAGTCGAATATGCGGGGGAGTCATCAGGGTTGGACTCGGGTTGGAGTCGTCAGAGTCTAATAAGCGGGGGAGTCATCAGAGTCGGAGTCGAATAAGCGGGGCGAAGAAGAAAGCACTAATAGGAGTCATCAGGGTC